CTACAAGTAACTCCTCCACGACTACTACTATTAGTCTACGAGTAGTATATATATATATATATATATATATGCATATACAGATATAATATAAATGATAAACATATCATGCATGTATTTAAATATTTTTTCAACCCAAATGATGGCGCTACTTATCAATGGATAGACATGCAACAATTTCTAAAGGTAAAATATGTACTTTATACAGGTATAATGTGAAAAGTAATGAAACAAGAATTAAAACCACAATCACAAATTTGTAAAATTTGATCCCTACTTTGGAAGCTTTATACACTTATATTTAGGATAAGAATTCAATTTTATAAAAAATTTAAAATTCATAATTTTTAGTACTCTTGTGATGCATATTAGCTTCACTCTTCCAATTGCTATAATAACAACTGGCTTCATATATTCTTTTAACATATGAATCCAAGTATGGTTTTATTTTTTCTCAGCAATTACTCTAATTATAATCATAAGCAGATATTTACAAGGTGTGTAAAGTGTGTGCCACATCCTAAATATGAATCACCTCGACCTACATTAATGTAACTCTTGTTTTAATCCAGTTGACAAATGATGCTTTCAGTATCTCAAAATATGCTATAACAGACCAGTTAAGATTCTTCTGTGAAATATGTGTTCAGTGAGTTATACAGTAGCTAATCAAGCAATGGGTGATACTAGGAGAATTAATTGTTATATGTACAGTGCATACTTATGTCATCATAGTTTTAGAATATAAATTCAATACTTATTTTCTTGGCTGACAATGAAAAATGAGATGTAGACCAGTTTGGGTTTTTACCATCACAGTATGCTTGTGTTGTTGATATTCATAATTCAAGCTGATGGAAACATTCAAACTGTACCAAAAATTGTGTGTAATACTTGAAATATTGAAGCTACAAATATTTTTTTTTCATACAAATGCTGTATTATTAATTTTTCAACCATGTAACATTAATGTTTTTTATGTAAAAGGATTTTAGTATTAAAAAATTGCTTTGGAGTACACTAGCTGGTATATGTTTGTAATTATGTTTTATAGTTATTCAGGATTGTGATATTTTTAGCTAAATATTGATGGGTATATTAATAGTATTTAATAATCTGTATCTGTTATGTACATTTTGTTACAAAACAGAAACAGGTGAAGTACATTTACATGTATAATGCAAAATGTTAAACTTAGTTTTTTAAATATGAACATTTTAGTTAGTTTAACAGTATAGTTACACTGATTATTTACATTTTTTAATTTATATTTTTTATTCTATTTTTTTTCAGATACATGTATGACCTTGGTGTGGAAGGTGGTTGGCAATGCGTAGGAGGACGTTCTATGCGATCGTCTCTCTAGCGCTGTTATCGTGGGCTGGCTTAACATTTCACCTTTTTCTGCAGCGACCTCAGGGCAAGGTGAGTGATTTTTTTTTTGTTTGGGATTTAGCAGAAGTATTTTCTTGAGTACTAAAAATGGCATTTTTTATAAACCAGAAATAATAAGTGCTTTCCAACCTTGTTAATAGAAACAGTTTTGTTTGGTAGCTGTCAGTGTATCATACATTAATGTTAAAGGCCCAATGTAATTGGTGGTTGAGCTCTTTTTTTTTTTTGTTCTTGAAATGTGAATTCAACCATCTCTTGAAAATCATCTTTTAGTTTATTGAGATCCAGCTTTACAAACATGTGTGGAGAGAGAAAAAGAAAATTCATCATAAAGATGAAACTTAAAATGTATAGGTAAATATAACTTAAAATCCATCTAAGAATAATTTACATGTATTTGTAAAATGTGTTTCAAAAATACCATCCAGTATGAATATAGAAAGTTCAAGGAAGTTTAATGAGGTACGTTCATTTATTTTAGTGTACAGTGTTTTTTATCTCTCTTCACCACACTAGTGTTATTTTTAATAATGATACAGTTTACTGGTACTTTCAAAACATTTTTATATTGATCTCCTCTGTAAATTAGTCAACAAACTGTTGGTAGTAACAAGATGTAAGATGCCATAGACCTGTATTCTTACAGAGTAGAAGGGTACAAGATTCAATAGGGGGGTTGCAATGTAGCTGGTATTTTTTAAACTTGGAAGTGATCATTTTACAAACGTGCATATTATTAACAATAATGTTGTTGAATTTCTGATATGATACATACCTCCTCTCACATAACATCTTTTCTTGATCCTTTACTGCTCTCTAATGCATTGAAAAGAAAATTTTCTTGTTTGACACACTAGTCTTTCTATCCCATAAGTTTGAGCTGTTCATTTAGCATCATTAGAGCATGCAAAAACCCTCCACATTCTCCTAGAACAGGTGGCTCTCTCTGTATAATTCCAGTGTACCTCACTTTCTTGATTTGCACACTATGAGTTGGATGTGTTTCTTGCTTGCTTGCTTGCTTGCTTTTGATGTTAGATACATTGTGTTATTTGTACTTTGCTACAGCCAAACTAATTTTAAGTTTGCTTGGATAATTCTTGCATTTATGAGTGTCTAAATCTGTCATTTCACATTTCTTTTTGCAACTTATGAATTTCTAATTTACTGTGACTACCACCACTGTTCCTTATGTTTCTGGTTACCCAGGCCTTGGAGTAACATTGTCTGCCAAGGAAGTGCAAGCCTTAGTTTTTCAAGAGTTAGCTTCTTACATGGAGCCTGGGTATTCTTCCCCACATGGGTCGGCACTATTTTTAGCTGATGAGCACATTCACAATGAGGATGATTTAGATAGCATGTTTTCTGCTTCTTTGTTTGCTGTGACTCCAGTTCAGGCACTTTTTGAGAAGTTTTGCTCTTCTAAACCTTTCTTCCTATTAATTACACAGGTTTGTTACATTTTGAATGCATCTCCTCCTCCTTATGATGCCTCTCCTTTCCTTATGTGTGAACTTCTGTAATTCGGTCTGTTGGGTATTTCCACCTTCACCCTACATTCAGGTTCATGCTCAGTGGTTTTCTCTCAATTTAGTTCAGTGGTTCATATGCCTCAATCCCCTCAAGTTTTGGATCAAGAAGCTTTGGCATTTCATCACTACTTGATTCCTTCTTTGGATTCACAAAGGTTAAATCCCCTTTTACCCCCTCTGGGGTTCAAATCCTGAGGCTATTGTCTCATTTTCGCAACCACAATTTTTGAGGATTTGTCTTACCCTTATTAACATTTTGTGTTACCTCATATCCATTCTGTGGACGACATTGACCAGACTATCTTCATCGGCCCTTTCCCTACTTACCTGGCTGCTTTGTTGTTGGGATCTGTTGGGGGAGAGATGTGCTGTCTCAGTTCTTGTGTGACATGGTATTTGGGGACCATCCTGATTCTTTGGAGTCCCCCATTTATATGGCTAGGGTGCATAATTCCCTCTCGTACCTTGCTAATCATTTATCACAAAATTCTCCCTCCATGTTTCCTGATTCCTTTGTTGATTCCTGTTCTCTTCCTTCTTCCATGCCTCATCTTTTACCCGCATCTTGATGTTCTTGCCCTTATTTTCATTTTCATCATAAACGTCTTCAGAGGTATCTGTGACTACACAAAGGGGTCACGTCTTGTGGGAGCCAGGCTCCAGTTTTTGTCACAATCATCAACCTCTCCCATTTCAATTAATTTTTGGATCCTCCTTGTTGCAACATGGAGTTGTTTCTGGTTCTTTGTTGGGTTTTTACTTCTGGTCGGTGGATGACGAAGTTCAGTGTAATGGATGTGTATCTTCACATCTCCTTCCTCTTCTCATTTTCTTTGGTTCATTCATGAGGAGTGTTTTGTAGTTCCAGATTCTTCCGTTTGGGCTTGCCTTTGCTCCTTATATATTATTTTTTGGATAGTCAGAGCCTTTTCTCACCCTCTTCATTAGTTGGGACTCCAGTCTCATCATTATATGGGTGATTGGCTTCTTCTGGCTCCTTCCTGTTCAGCTTCTGCTGCTCGCACATGTTTACTCATGTAGGAGGCAGTGTTTGTGGGTTGGTTAATCAAAGTGGAGAAGTCCATCCTTTCCCCTACCCAGTGCTTGGAGTTTTTAAATTCTCACTTTAGTTGGGCCCAGCCTTCTCCACTACGTATTTGGGATATGGAGCAGTTGGTTGTCAAGGCCCCTTCCTATTCCTTTCTGCCAGCTCAAGAGGTTCTATCTCTTTTTGGGGGTGTGGGCTTCCTTTGAAACCCTAGTGCCTCTCTGTCATGCTCACATGCATTCCTTGCAGTAAGAATTTCATGATTGATGGAACTTCCATTTGGATCCCTTGGATCTTCCAGTTGTCCTTCCTTCTTCCCTTCAGACTGACCTTGCTTGATGGTTAGACAGAGACAATTTTATGGCTGGTGTTCCTCTTCCACCTCTTTGTCCAGATGTGCATCTTTTCACAGATGCTTCTCTTGTGGGTTTGGGTGCATATCTTGATTCCTTGGAAATTTCCAGGACTTGTTCATTGGCTGAATCTGGGTTTCATATCTTGACTGTTCGTCGGGCTATGTCTCATTTCCTCCATCTTCTGAGGGGGAAGATTGTTATGGTGCATTCCAACAACTCCATAGTAGTCTCATACGTCACAAAACAAAGGGGTACCAAATCCAGATCACTTTGTTTTTAAACTCTGAAGCTCATATTCTGGGACCACAGGCACTGGCTACATCTCTTGGCTTGCCATGTTCCTGGTGTTTTGAACCTTGTTGCAGCTTACTTACATGTCGACACAAGGTCCTTCCCACAGAGTGGTCTCTAGATCCTCAGATTTTCTGGTGGCTGTGCTTTCTTTTGGGTACCCTGTATATCAATGATTTTGACACTAATCTGAACAACAAATTGCCTTCTGTCTGATCTCTGGTTCCTCATCATCAAGCTTTAGGTGTGGATGCCTTCAATCAGGATTAGAAGGACCTTCACATTTATGCCTTTCATTCTATACATCTCTTCCCCAAATATATCTTATCATCCACACATCTCCATGACTGGTTATTTTAGTGGCTTTCTTTTGGCTGGCTCAGCCTTGGTTCCCTTTCCTAAGGCCTAGAAAAGCATTTTCTCCTCTGCCCCCTACTTCTCTCCATCATAAACCTCATTTGGAAATATTCCATCCTGCCATTTCCACCCTCTGACTTCCTTTTGTGGCTCCTCATCCTGTTTGTTCATTCCGTGGAACTCTGTGTGTCACATGACCTTTTCCTCATCACCCCTACAGGTTGGGTTCGTCAGCTTATTCATTTGGCCATACCTTTGTCTCTCATTACCTGTACCATCTGGCTGTATCCTTCTTTAGCGATTCTACATGCACTAGTTCGACTCTACCTTGGGTAAGTGTCTTTTCCTATTTTGTTTTATTCCAGGGGTCTTCTTTTTCTTCAATAAGTACTTGGATCTCGCTCAATGGCAAGTGCTGCTTAGTCAGGTATGTTTTCCTCTAAACCTGAACCTGATACCTTTATGCTTATAATGCACACTATTTAGGTGGGGTGTTCCCCAGGATCACTAGCGGTTTACCCTAGTGGTATATATTTACTCCTCTATATGTCGTATTCTGTTTAGTACTTGGCAAACTGTCACTCATGGACTATCATGAGTAAAGCAGAAGGGGATTGGTGCTCATCTCTGTCATTCCTTTGAGTAAATCAGGAGTGATCTGCTTTTGAAAATAGGGTTTTGCAATGTCACCCATTGTACTTTTACAGGTGTGATGTTCCTCGGGACTTCCTACTGCCTTTTACCCCTCCCTTCATCGAGTGTAGTTTGGGATTCCTTGCCACATCTCAGTTTTTAGCCACTGGGGTGGGGAACTATGGAGGCTTCCTCACAAGTGTCGACCATATGTCATAACATTACATATCAATGCACTCAGTTGATCAGAGGGCAAAGCTGGGAATTGTCTCTCCTAGAGTTTTGTTCCCAGAGGTGCTGATGTAGGTGGGAGCTGAACAAGCCAATGATGGATCCTCCTCATAATACTGGGTTCAGGTACATAGCTCCCTGTTCTTAAAGGTTGAGACGGGTAGATGCCCCCTTTTTCCGTAAATCTGGTTGCATAATGTTTTCATTTACCTATTCCTGCATCTGAGCTTGGGGGACTTTGTCCACTTTTTAATACCAGTTTTGGATTGTTTTTATGGTTGAGAGGAAGTTCCACATCCTCTTTGTAATGATGGGTCCAAGGGTTTCCTTCTCTGCTCTTATGGTTGAGTTCATTTTTCCTGCTCGTAATACCAGGTTCAGGATGACACACTGCTCTTACAGTTGGGTGTAGGCTTAGACATGGCCTCATAATTCTAGTTTCGATTTGTTATACTTCCTGTCTCCATCGGTTGAGTTGTAAATTTGTCTGGTGGTTCTCATTTGCTTACTTCCTAACTGTAATTCCAGTTGCTTGCAGTATAGGACTGTTTACTTATGGTCATGCTTTGTGTATATATATTA